AAAGTTCTAACCTATAAAGTGAACTTATTTAAAGGAGAAAGTTTTTTTTGAAGAAAATATTTCAAATTAAATCTCGTTTATTCAATGTAATAGGAAGATAATCAGAGTTTGTTTTTTTTAAACTCAATTGAATATAAATGTATAAATAAAAAAAAAATTAAATATAATCTCAATAAAAAATCTGTTTAATACTTTTAAAATATTTGATTGTTAGATTTTTGTTAATAGAAATTTAATCTAATTATTGAATTGGTCATAATAGATAAATGATATATATAGAAAGATTATTATTTAAAGTAAAATAAGTTAAATTGTTTTGTTTTAGTAACATCTATTAATGGTCAATGTCTTGTCAAATTTCCGTCAGCAGGAAAATTGGAATCATCAATAAAAGATGATTTTGAAGATGATGAATTATTTGTTTATGCTGAAAATCTTGAAAATATTCGACCAAATAATATATTATTAAAAGAAAATAAAAAAAAAGAAGAAATAAATAATCCATTATATAAATATCGTCGGGGAGTTTTATCAGTATCAGATTTATCAGCTCAAATATGGTGTGAACAACAATTAACATATAAATTTCTTTATCCATTTATTCTTAATGATGATGGAGAAATAAAACGTGTTGATGATAAAATACATATGTTACGTGGTACATCATTACATTTAGAAAGAGAATTAGAAATTCAAATTAAAGTTTCAATTCAATGTAAAACACGTGAAGATTCTTATGGTGTACGTTTATTAAATATGATACAAGCTATTCATGGTTTATTAACATCGAATAAAACAAATCAACCTTATATAACACGTGAAATGCCTGTTAACTTATTTATATTTATATTTTTATTTTATTTAACTTTTTTTATTTTATTAAGATATTTGGAAATATGTATGGTGGTAAATTATATTTTCGTGGTATAATTGATGAAATAAATTATGATCCACGTAAAAATCAATTAGAAGTTGTAGAATTTAAAACACGTGCATCAAAAACAACACCAAAACCTCAACAAACATATACACATGAAATTCAAGTTAATATATATAGAACTTTATTTGATGAACTTATACAAGGACAAGTTGATAAATCACTTTATTTTAAACGTTTTAATCTTCAATCA